ATGTATAATACCAAAAAATTATGTACAATATAGACACTACTAAACTTTATTTCGTTTAGTGTCAGAACCACTAAGCAATATCATTAGAAATTCAGCAAAATACTGTTAAATAAGAGGAATCGGTCACATGGCCGATCCTTCTCAAAGAGAGGATTAAAAAAAAAAAAAAGGTCTTATATGTCCAGTTGGCATTGAGATTTGGATCAATTCCATGCCAGAAAAAGCCTTAAAAGACAACATCAGCATCTGAAAGTATGCATATTCCCACCATAAAACCACCTTTAAATTCACCATGTTTATTAAGACTTCTTTAAGTCTTTTACATTTTATAAAAAAAATAAATGCATATAACTTAACAGACTCTTTAAAAGACACCTTGAGGATGTAACACAGCACATCAGCACACTCTGCTCTACTATCTATCCATTCATCCACACATGCATGTCCCACCAATCTGAGCAGGCAGGAGTTCCCAGCAGGTGCGTAGAGGACCACCAGGCTGCCCTTCAGCTGTTCAGTGTCGAGCCCCCTCAGCTGGATCCTGGCCCCCCCACCGCCGCCGCTGCCTTCCCCTTCCCTGCAGCCAACTGAGGCCCCAATCTTGCCCGTCTCGGCCTGCCAGCAGCGATGCCAGCTGGGGTAGCCGGCGCAGCAGCCGCTCGGCAGCCGCTCCAGACTCATGGCTGAGCAGAGGAGCTCCCTCAGTGCCCCTGTGAGCGGAGCAGCCGCGGTCCCCCTGCCCTGTCAAACCCACAGCCTCGACTAGCAAAATCCTGCTTCGGCATGGTCTGTCTCAGTTTGGGTAGTTCAGACGGCATCGCAACCAAAGTAGGCTTCCCACAGGAGCAAGTGCTTAACCTCTCTGCCTCGGTGTCCTACCTCCAATCTGGATAAGCCCATGCAGCGGCGGATTAGCCTAGCCCCGGGAGGGAGGAGAGACTAAAAATAACAGCAGACTCACAGCGCCTCCTCCTCCTGCTGCTCCCGTCCCACGGAGAGTCCTGAGCGCTCGCACCGCGCTCCTCCACTTCCTGCGCAGGCCGGATGACATGGCCAGGTAGGAGCGGGATCCACAGGTTCAAAGGGAGAGACAGGCTCGAGAACTGCCCAACAGAACTCTCTGCCTGTCCTCCCTCCTCCCTCTGTCTGTCACTCTGCACACTATTCTGCTGCTTTCCCCCTGCCTCTCTCACTCCCTGACTCGCTCACTTACTCAAACACACATTTGTTATATAATACTTGTGAGGACTTTCTCCTAACTAGATTCATACACAATCACAGGCAATATTTAGCTCCTATTATTTCTTAATCCTTGCTATAATGAGGCCTTATTCAAGCCTGTTTTTGTATTTTGCCTCTTAAATTTGTTTTTAAAAACTAACACAAAAAAAATAAGAAAACCCGAATGTTAATTCATTCATTCAAACGTGCACACAAATGGTTTGTTACATACGTGAAAGTCTTTGGGAATCAGGATAATTCTTAAATTGGATGTGCATTCCGGCATTTTAGCATAGGGAAATGCCAAAATAATCCTATAAGGCCAGTAAACCTCAACAAACCACTGACCTGTGGTAAGCAGTAGTAATGAAATATAATATGAAAAGGCTGCTAGGATGAGTAGTTGGACTGATGGATAATAAGCAGTAGGGTGCTGGGCTCAGAGAAACACTGAGCCTGGCAGGTGGGCACCCATGTGTCATACAACATTAACTAATATCAAGCAAACCACTGTGCTATTTGGGTATCACAACAGCTCCGAAATGTCAAAGGTTGAAGCTCCTGTCAAAAAAATAAAAGATGTCACTTTTAAATGTACAGACAGTACACAAAAGTTGAATAAAGCAATAAAAATAATGTACCACAACCACCCTAACTCAGCTAAAGCCTATTTTTCTCTAGGTGTTTGTCGCCTGAAGGTATCGTGAAATCTCTGTTCCAAGCATTAGGGTGTAAGGGTGGTGGTAGTGGGTCACTTAATTGTTTGCCAGCCACCATAAAACATAGAAAGATGTTTTTTCATTTTATTACTCGTTCCGTGGTGCACTATCCACACTGAGCCGAAGAACCAATGAAAGGAAAATACAGCCGTGGGGGGGTGTTGATAATACTCTTTTCTGCTTGCCTGTATATAGCTTTCCACTCACATCCAAATACACATAGTATTGATATCAACCAAAAACATTACGTATGAGTCCCCCTCCTGCACACTGTACCCAGGCGCCACCCTTTGCCAAACCATTTCAGGTGAGAGAGGCCAACTCCAGAGAATGTCCAGGGAGAAGAATATGAGCTCTGAAGGCCCGATGAGTCAACAAGTGCCGATGGTTCACGGTTCACATTTGATCAGTCTCTTAAAAACAAAAAACAAATAATTCAAATACTGGTTTGGACAGCAGTTGCCATGGCGACAGTTGAAGCTTCAAAGCATTTGAAGTCAGCTATTGTCAAAGAATGGTTGAATTGTTCCCAGAGAATATTGAACAGTATTTTTGCTTGAAATGCCCATCCCTAGTTTAAATATTCACTGGCAGTTGGATAATGCTTTACCCAGAGTAAGACGATAACTCAGCTAGACACAGATCAGCTGTGATCAATAGTAGCAACAGTGCTGGTGGCTAGCATGAGGGAAATCACTGAAAAAAATCATGGTTGTACGTAAGCAACCAGCTCTGTGGACTCATTCTGGGGCTTTAAAGCTCAAACCTATTTCCTCAAGCTGAGAGATATAAGCACACACACAGGACACACACAAGTCCATTTCCTCCAGTTTTCTGGTTGGTGCTCTTTACAGAAATGTAACCCTCACACGACAATACCCTACATTTATTAACAATAGAGACATCAATAACAGCAATACACAGCTTGAACAACATCAATACATGTACACTCCTGTTTTTGATGCTGTTAGAATGATTCTCTCTCCTGGTACGGACCGTTCAGTGGAGAACACTTGGTCGCGTTACTGTCACCGTCCTGCACTCGCACAGATGGCCCAATGCTGCTGGAGCTCTTTTGTCCTAATCTAGTTTAAAAGACATGAAATGCATTCATCACTGAATATTCATGTCATTGTGCAACCTAAACAAAACTATGACAGTGAAAATAATATATATTGTTATTAAAAATGTGTAGTTTTGCCTGTTACCAAGAGGGCCTGTAGATAGTCATGTTGATGTCGATGGTGAGTATCAGTATAATGGTTCCCATTATCATGCCATAACCTTACTTATACTTACTTTGTGCTAACAGTGCTCCAGCAGATTTCCTGCCGGTCTGAGCAAGCAGCAAAGTGCAGTGTAGAGGCTGGAGGAGGATGTAACTGCCTCTGATGGGCTCGACTGTTTATAGCAATTACACTAATGTCTCCAAATTGAGGTGGTTAGGATTTGTTGATGTTAACATGGTTCACACAACAAAAAGATAATGCCATACAAATAACTGAGAGGTACATTTTTCTGAAGCTAGAAAAGATAACTGAGTGACTCTGTGGCTTCAGGCTTACACTGATCCTCTGTCAGCGTTTAAAACAGATGACACATCATGATCTGCTCTCAGGTAGGTCCCTCAATAATTTATACATCAAAAGTGCACACTAAGACATACAGTAATTTGGCATCTGATATATGCAGTCATCCTCTCCTCTGATGTGGACACAGTGGTCTGCTCTTGTATGTATGTGTGTATGTGTGTATGTATGTGTGTATGTGTGTATGTGTGTATGTATGTATGTATGTATGTATGTATGTATGTATGTATGTATGTATGTATGTATGTATGTATGTATGCACACACA